TGACATCATTTTACTTTAACTACTACAGTACCTAGTGCTACCAAAGTCTTGATCGGGGTTTTACTTTCTTGTGATTTCTTTCTTCTTTCACTTTAGCCTTTTGCTATTATAATAAACATTTTTTTGGGGGGAGGGGGGGTATCAAATTCTGCCGAAAAACGAAATTGAGTTTATTAGTTCATGTTGTGACGCAATAGGGCAAATGGCTTAATAACTGATTCGGGAACTCTTTACAAAAACTCGTAAAACTTGTAAATCATATCGTAGCATTGTGGGGGGTGAGGGAAGGGCTAGGCATAAGTAATCTCATTCCCTTGCGGTTGTTTGTTTGGCGAATATTAGTCGAAGATCGAGCGGGGACATGTGCAAATTTGTTCAAAGACTCTCATCCATGATTGTAGCTTTGGTTGGCGGTGATCAATTTTTGCGTCACTGTTCTTTTATTTCCAAAGTTGGTGGTAGAACTTCCAGCGCAACTAGTATATCGACTGAACTGTCAGTCTTTATGCATTTGATAACTGTCAACAAAAATCTGATGCGAATGGACGAATCAAAGAAATGTGTTTAGTCTGATACTCAGTGTTATGCTCTCCTATGAAAAATCTTAGAAATCTTACGATACCAAGGGTGTCTGTGAGTCGTTGCTAGTCGTACTGTCAAGCCTCGAAAATCTAGTCCTTGTAACACCACTGTTTATATTAACTTGATAGTCTTCTACATTGTTATTATCAGAATCAAGTGGCAAATCGAGAAACTCGAGCAGCTTTGTTTTCCAAATTAGCCTTTGTGAGGGGTCTTTGCAGTCTATTAAAGTTTTGTTCCTAAGTTCTGATGGCAGTTCTTTAAAGTTGACTCCATCTATTCTTATCACAGCCAAACTATGATCTCCGCTTTTCTCTTGTCGGTCTATCGCAAGATCTAATTCATAATTGAAGTAGTTGCTTTTTATAGAATTGCTTGAAAACAGTGCTATTATTTTGTAACTATCATTGACACTTTCTGCCATGCTGTCTCGAAAAGGTCTCCCGATGATCCAGTTTCTGTAGTGTACGCAGCACTTTAAATTATGCTTGTCTTCTAAGAATGTTAGGAGTTTTTTCATCCATAATCTATCTTCATTGTTGTATATTATAAACACGTGGTATTTGTAATCTATAATGAAAGGAAGGCATAACATTTCAAGTATTAAAACGAAGACTACTCAGTTTTCTGTTTATTAATTACAAAAACGGTTTTAAAAATTACGGGAATGCGGCGAAAAAATACAGACAAAACATACCTGAGGGTACAGGAGCCTTCTTGCGCCTTTTGCTACGTAAGATATACGCCAGCAAACCGACAACCAAGACAAGGCCTGTTAAGGTGCCAATCGATATGGATACTGCATGGGGCACTTTTTTTCTAAAACCTGGTGAAACATTGAAACCGGTTGATTATCTTATATAACAGATTTGATTTGTATTATTACCTGTTACAAATTTTTTATCAGGCGGGCTTGAAACATGGATACTCAGAAAAGACTAGAGCGCAAGATCAGAGCATTTTTGTGCTGTAATGATAATCATGCAGATTATTGACATCATTGAGTCAGCGTAGGCTGCAGGAGCTTATGCTTGCGTCGTTGTGTGAGGCTGAGTGAAAGACGAAGACATTTCTTGAATTCATGGCAATCATTTTAGGAAACGTAGCAAAAAAACTTCAAGTGAAGTGTCTCTGTACAGCTGTTTGTAGTAGTTTAATTGACCTAGCAGGATTTGTCTCTACTTCCATGACAACGGGCAATTGGAGTTGAACTGAGCTTAGTTACAGTCTTTATCAAACTAGAAGTCGTAATGTGAAGCAAAGACTAAATAGTTCCAGCAATATTTCTGGTATTCACGCGCGGTTTTTCCAGTTTGACTGTAGAAGGCCTGCCTGGGAAGACACCGTAAAGGGACCATACAAGCCAATCATCAATGGAGCTATTTTAGTAACTTAAGTCAAGTTCTTTGAGAAGTTAGTCAGTCATTATTGAATATTGGGAAAAACGTTTCCACACCTTTTGTTATAGCTGGCATTGTAGAGAGATTTGATGGGCCTATAAATAGTTAAAAGAAAAGCATTTTATGACTTCAATAGCTGATCATAAAGTTTTTAGACCAGTTCGTCGAAGGTCTTATTCTTTTTTTTCCCTCAAAATGTTAAGTTTTATGCATATTTATACTTTTTTCCGAGAACGAGCAAATTATTAACAATTCGACAATATTTTTCATAAGTATTCTTAAAAGTATCTTTGGTGCCATTTTCAAGTCAGTGTATTTGGATTCTTTAAAACATAAAAGGCAGATTAATAAAAGGATAAAATCAGGAAAATGTTTTTCGTTTAAAGGACGGAATTTCATGTTGGACTGCAAAAAAAGAGCTAGAACTACATCAACATAGCTCAAAATCGAAGAGGATAATTAGTTCGAACTAACCTGTTGATTCGAATTCAGAGGCTGTTGATGATTCTGTATAAGATGTAAATAAGATCATGGTGACTATATTAACGTGACAAAAACTTGAAGAGAGTAATTAAATCGAACTTACCTGTTGATTCAAAGGCTGTTGATGATTCTATATGAGACAGTAATAAATCAGATGGTGACTAAAACAACATAACACAAACTTGAAGAGAGTATTTAAATCAGACTTACCAGTGTTATTGCAGAGGTTGCTGACGGTACAGTTTTTTTTCCAGGTATTGATTTTAAATTTTGTAAAATTTGTAAGGGTGAAACGTTTGTGCAGTAAACAGCAAGACATGTGAGAAAGTTTGAAGTACATCAGATTTCTTTGACATTCAAGATTACACAGTGGAACCTCGATTTAACGTAGGGCCAAGGGACTTTATGGCAAAATGTGTTCGCTTTATCGAGGTTTCGTTATATGGAGGTCCTTTTCCATATATTTTACTACCAGCGGGGTGAAGAAAATCGTTCGTTTTACCGAAGACTTTGTTATAAAGAGGTTCGTTATATCGAGGTTCCACTGTAATATAATTTTTATACAGATGACAAAACAAGTGACATTATATCGAGTTATAATCCAATACAAATCATTTGCTTGCAGATTTGTTTTGTACAGGTCTTAAGTACAATGGAATACAATGTGGCGGACGATTCCAGTAACTACTTCAATAATAAATGGCGTCATCATGACATCACTACTTTTGTTAAAAGATTATTTGTGTGTTAGCCAACTTCTTGATCGTATCAGACACCTTACTAGCTACTTTAAGGAGAGAAATTGATGAAATTTGGGTTCTGCCAAGAAATTCAACAATATGTCATCACAATGACGTCAAATTACGTCGTTGTGTCAATCACTTTATACCTTGATGTTGGAAAGGGTGAGTATACACTATTCAGAGTAAATTTGGTGGCCGTGCCATGAGCGGTCGCAGCCAGCAAAACAAAAAGGCCCGGTCTGAATGTAGGGTTAAGTTAACAAGTGCAAAAAAAATTTTCCATGGTTTATACTCCTATCAACCATAGAAATGACGTCAAAATGTTCAAATCTCAAAGTGGAACCACAATCCGCAGCTGAGAGGTTTCACTTCAAAGTCGATTACCAAAAAACTTACCATTATTTGCGCAGAATGGTGTATAAGGTGTTAATAAACTAATGGGGTAGAGGTATGGAAGGCCAATGACCTATGGAATAACAAATAAATGAAAGAGAGAAGAGGATTTTATAAAAAATCATAAAATATTAAAAGCTGAATTGTAAGTTTTCACTTCAATCATACTCATCATCTGTTTCGAAATTGTTGTTGTTGTTGTTGTTGTTGTTTTTTTTTTGGCGTGGCACGTCAGTCAAAAAATAGTACGTTTTGGTTTTATTCTGTGTTTTCAATGTCACGCCATCAAAAAATAAAAATGAAAAGCAGTCAATACAGGAATTCCAGAATCTGGGAAACGAAAGATATTATGATAAATATACAAAAAGCCTCGCCAAGAATCAGGTCTTTGCGATCATTCATTTGCGAGATATTCAGAAAAATATTTTACCCAAATTTATAAGGCTTTGTATGAAGACGCCAGGTTGGTGTCCTTTTTAGATGGCACAAATATGGCCGCAGGAAACCAACAGAACATCTGTTTTTGCATTTTCCTACTTATGCGTGAATTTATCGCTTGAGAAAAGCAATAGTTAGTCCAAGACAATGAATGTTTAGATAGAAAAATCTCAAAAAATTAGTGAAAACGTTTTTAACCCACATAACAGCTTTTCACGGCCGCCAGCTAAATGCCGCATCACACTAAAGCCTGGAAATTCAAGCGTCTAATCTATCACAAAACGAAGAACCCTTTGGAACCGAAAATTTGTGTAAATAAAGGTTTTTAGGTGCTATAATACCTCATGAAAGTAGAAACTCAGAAGAATCGATAGTTTCTTTGTTTGAATTTTGGTGACGTCATGTTGAAACCCCTAAGGCCATTTAACGTAGTGTACATTTCGTTTAAATCTTTATCATTTCTTTTCAGTCATAAAAATAGCTCACTCGTTTTTCTCACCTTAAGATTAATAAGGTTTGGACAAGGATAGTGATATGAAGAGATGTTCACTTGAAGGAACGTTTTGTTCTAAAACAAACAAAATCAATCAAATGAAAATCCAGTTTACAAACTAAAAAATCAGTATGAAAGTGGGGCATGATCTTCGCGGAAGGAAGAGCAACCTTACAAGCGGTTGAAAAAAAACTGAAAAAATTCAGGCTTGACAGGGAACCGAACCCTGTCCTTTACAACGACCGGACGCAACGCTCTATCCACTGAGCTATATTTAAGCCAACGGGAGAAAAAATTTTTACTAAATAAACTAAATGTTGTGTGTATTATATTGCTGTTTCTGTGCTTTCTGAGTTAACTGTCTTTCACAGTTTTAACTGAAAGCCGAGTTGCATGGTTGAATCAAGCTCGCCTCGGGAAATTACATTTATTAGAAACCACTACTGCTCTCCTTACTTTAGGCAATACGAAGCATATAAGGTCAGTTCCCTGATGAATTGTAAGACATCCATTGGGTCCTTCTGAGATATTTCCGATCCCGAGGAGAATCAAAATCCTTTTCCATTTACCACCAAAATCTGCAAGATGTAAGGAACATATCAAACAAACTGAGATATATGGCCTGTATTTACACTTGAAAGTGTTGAATTCTGGAGGACACTTGCAAATCACTGCATTGAAGACTCACTGACAAGCTAATTCCAGTGAGAGTATTTTAATTACCTCAAGGTTCTGTCGTGTCGGATTTTCTTGATTAGATTTGCTTACCATTCATAGGAGACCACGAGCAGTTCATGTACCAATAGTCGGTGTTTCCGTAGTTTCCAAAGCTCACATTTACTTCTGATGGCGTCCACTCCCCAAATCGTGCTTCTGACGGCAATGGGCAATCTGAAATATGTTTGCATGTAAGTTCGTCTTTATAACTGTAACTAAATCAATACAAAAATGCATAAACTAAATAAAAGGTCTGGCATGTTTCAAATATGCGTTGCTGCTAATTTTTTCTTCTCCTTTCCCGTTATTTAATACAACCGAGAAGATACCTGCAAAAAGGAAAATGCTTTTTCAAAAAATTTCCAATTATTGTGCTTTTATCATACAATTTAGGCGTGCATACTGTAAACAGTGTACAACTGAAACGACTTACATTTTCCGTAGTAGTAAGATCTAGAGTTAGAGCTTTACCTGAAGTAGGCTGTGGATCGGAAAGCGATTTTCGCTTTCGATGTTTACTTGAGCTTGACACAGTTAAATCATCTTTCTCTGTTTAAAGAAAGCATTGAAATGTCCTCTCATATTTAAGTATAATTTGTATATAAGTTATATGTATTATGATTGAAGACAGTATAGTAATTTGGAAGTTGAGGGTCGAAGAATTTAAGTCAATTCTTACAGCTACTTAGGTTTCCCACAGCTCAGCCGTATACCGATTAACGCGGGTGATAGGTTGGCTGCTTTTGACTAGACATGGGTAAGATGTGTTTGCTTTGCGGGATCTAGCCCCTAGCTCTCACGTCCCCTCACTGCCTCCATGATTTACCTCGTTTAAGGCCAGCCGTATAAGATTCTAACACCGTCATGGTACTTTTTTTTCTTTTTCATAAAAATGTTAACGATTTATTCCGTATATGCTTTGCAACTTACCTTTGTTTCTACCAAGACACTGAGGGCATGATAGAATTCCACTAGATGCCTGAAGAGCAGAAAACCAAACTATTTAAATAAGCAGTGGAACCGCAGTTATTACAAGGGGGTGTTACATGTCATTGGGAAAACTCGCAACGGCGCGAAAACATAGCCACGGGAGGGAACCGGAGTGAACTCAAGCCGGCGCGAAAGTCGCCCCGGTGTCATGTGAACACCCCAGGGGGTAAACACCCGCATATAAGAACACATGATTTCGTGGTTCAGGCTTATCTACTTTATATTCATCGGGTGCTTAGTGAGAAATCAACTTGAAGATGTTCATAATAATATTTTCTTAAACTTTGTTTCAGAAATCAGGGGTAAAAAAAAGTAAAAAATTAGTTGATCTTTTCTATTCAGATAGTTTATTAAATGTATTTGACATTTATATCCCGGCTTCAACCAGCTGCAGCTGAGGAGCATAAAATCCTAAAGGTTATAGTTTTGTAATTGCTTAGCAGCGTTAGCAACCGTAGTTACATTGCTTTCTTATTCCGAAACCCTCTCCCTTATTATATAAGGACACGTTTTATTTATCAGGGTGAACTGATTCTTATATAATAATATATGCTTTATGGGCCAAATTTCACCCTGATGTAATTCTTAATCCACCATTTGTTCTTATATATGCGGGTATTTACTGTATAACTTTACTGAGTTTCGGCCCAGCCATTCAAACATAAAAGAAATCTGATTGTTTCAATTTGCTTATCAAAGCATGCGTGAAAGTCAAAAAAATTACTTACTACTTATTGCGTGAGACCTGCGTTTAGCAGCAATGGAAATTTATTTTCAACTTATAAATCTGTTACTCATGCGTTTTTTGAATGCCTGTTATTCTTAACGGAAAAATAACCGATAGCCCGCGTAGAACAACCAAAATTTTTGAGCTCTTGAACTTGTAAATACCACTACCCCACTACTACTGAGCGGGTTTTTACCCTGGGTTTTTACCGTAATCATGGCGACCTGCTCGTTTGATTATAATTTGTTTTAGGACATATACGTCAACATACGAAGCAAAAAAAATCATTTAGTTTAAGATAGTTTTTGAAAAGGAGCTTTTGAGCCTTCGGTTAATTTTGTCACTTTATGATTAAATTAATAACCTTTAAATTTCCAAACAGGATTATGTTTTTTTTTCTCTTACTCTTTCTTTTTTTTGGCACGTATAAAGTTCTTTTAAAAACGTGTACTTTGTGTGTGGTTAGGTGCCACATGCTGTTTGGTTTACTTTAATACCTGCATTACCTTAAACATTTAGTTTTGAAGAGTGTTTAGCTTGTTTAAGGCTTAATCTGGTAATAACTGTTTTCGTTGTCTTTCACTTAGATGTTTCTAATTGTAAAAAAAGTACTGCTTAAAAGATGGTGCACGGTTGAGATGAAAAGTGAAATTCCTGCTATCAAAAATGGCAGCAACGCTATGGTACAGAAAGTTTCTGAAAGCCCTTGATCATCTGATATGAAGTATCCTCCGTTATTTGAGTGCGCTTGGTACTAAAAAAGAATATGTAGCAAAACGTATGAAGCAATGCTTTTACGAAAATGTAACAACTCTTTTTTTAAGCTCCTGACCCATTTTAAATTGTCAGATGTCACATTCAATGCGTCACTTGAAGACGTCCAACCATCATGTTTCTTTTTTGGGGTTTATTCTTGAAAAAAGCTATTACAGTCCAAGCATAACAAGGTTAAAAAAATACTATGCCTTTTAAACACAGATCGCAATATACTCAAAAAGTGGCTTGAATTTCAAGCAGCACATTTTAGCAAGAAAAGGAAAACGAAGGAAGACAACTTACATGTACATCGACTTTTTTTTATCATTTGCTTTATGATTCAATACAAGAAGTCACAATTGTCATGTTTACAAAATTCCTCCATTTAGGGGAATCCAAGACAGTCTTGTATTCTGGATTCCACACGGCACCGTTGATTCCGGATTCCAGAGAGTGGATTCTAGTCTTTGTCACTGGAAGCTGGATTCTAAATTCCAATCGTTAGAAGGATTTTGGCTTCCTTGAGCTGCATATCCGAATTCCAAAGCCGGGAGAGGATTGCAGATTCCACGAGTAAAAATATCCCGAATCCCGGATTCCTCAAGCAAAAATTTCCCGAGTTCAGGAATCCGGATTCCTTTACGCGGGGATTAGTCACAATTGTCACTGTATTTACAAAAGCAAGTCATTCTGGCGGTCAAAGAAAAGCCCGACTCAGCGGTATACCGCAAACATGAAGAGACGAGAAATTCAAATTCTTTTATCCCTGGTTTTTCACCCTTAGGGCATAACAGAGAGCTAAGTGAGTTTAATTTTTCTATTTCTTTAATTTTTTTCCTTTTAGTTGTGGGGAAACTAGATAACTTTTAGCAAATTAATATAAATTACTTGAGGACTTTACTGTGAAATTTTCCCTAGAAAGTTTTGAGTTTGCTGATCCATAGCGAGAAATGAACGAGCAAACATGCCTTGCTCATGAGTGTACTACGGTGGCCCATTAGGGACATGGAAAGTTACTCTTTTTACTAGCAATCGACACTTAGTAACTGTCGATCGACACTTAGTAACTGTCGATCGACACTTACGTAACTGTCGATCGACCATTAGTAACTGTCGATCGACACTTAATAACTGTCGATCGACACTTAGTAACTGTCGATCGACACTTACTAACTGTCGATAGACACTAAGTGTCGATCGACAGTTATTAAGTGTCGATCGACAGTTACTAAGTGTCGATCGACAGTTATTAAGTGTCGATCGACAGTTACGTAAGTGTCGATCGACAGTTACTAAGTGTCGATCGACAGTTACTAAGTGTCGATTGCTAGTAAAAAGAGTAACTTTCCATGTCCCTAATGGGCCACCGTAGTTTACAGCTAGGGTCAACAGATTCACACGCAAATATGTTAAGGCGCATTTGTAACATTGTCACCATGTTTCTTTCATTCTCATCTTGATATGAATAAAAGAAACTGGCGATTTTGTATTAATAATTTCAATATCCTGTATTGAGGCATGCTCTCACAAAAATCATTATATTTTTTTCTTACTGATTCTTTGCTCTTATCAGCCTGTGCGTTTGATATTAACTTATCGATTTCTCATGTTTGATTCGCACTACCACTGCGTTATCGTTTAAAATAACGTGTTCATAAACAATATTCCACCGGAAGACTGACATTAAAACTAGACCGAAGTGGATGGACAAAATTTTGTGCAGAAATGGCAGTGCACGACGTCTCTGAGTGTTGATCTACTAACAAATCTCGTTTTCTTAAACTTTGCTGGGATTTGACATAAGTAACTTTGGTATCATTGTTTTATAACTTAATGTATTCGTTTACATCGTTTGCTGTGCAAAACGGGCCATTAAGCAAACTAATCGCGATTATATAGTGATCGATTTTTTATACTACATGTTTACCCTTTGAACAGATTTTTACACCTTAACACAAAACTACTGACTTACCTGCATATTTGCTGTTTGTGCTTTGGAGCCGTCTTTCTCTCGGGCGAGGCGACATAGGTGAAGACAACGTTCTCTTTCTCCTAGTAGAGGCTGCCTCGAAACCGCAAATGAACAGACTGCCAGTACTAGAACAATCTTACGTTTTGTAATCATTGGCCACTCATATACAGTAATATATCGCAGGCTGAATGACAAAACCAAGTATATCAGTTGTGCTTATTCAGCATTACACAAGACCCACTGACAGAGGAGCCCGATCGAAGTAGTAGAGGTCATTTTGCAAAGATGTGCAAATATGACTGTTTTCGATTCAATAGTTCGTCATGATTTATTCTTGTCTCAGTGAGCGACCAGCTGTGAACTACTTCAGGCATGCATCTTGTTTCACGCTTCGAAGATCATTCTGGATCTACCTCTTAGATCAACTTTTCTGTTTGGCTCAACATTTCAGCATTGTATTTCTTTTTGTATTACTAGCCCTTTTAATAGTTCTCAAGACGTCGGTGATAATGTCTAGATTACATTGTTCGTAGTTTTCTTTAAATTTTGATAGAAGAATTTGATGACAAAAGGCTCTTGTGAAACAAAAGAACAAATATTCTGATGGAGTTTAACTAAATAATAGGAAGTCGTGAATCCCTGGGCTGCCTGCATTTTGATCAGAATTTACAGTTGAAGCTATACCTGTTCGAGCTGCGAATAAAACCAGAAAGCTGTGCCTTCAAACGATTTTGTAATACCGTCTTCAAAAACCAAACGAAAAGTCGCGCAGATAAACAAAAAAAAAACACAATTTCTCTGCAAACTGCAGGCTAAAGAAAACTTCCTTTTGTTCTGCTCTTTTACGTCTCTGAATTACTGCAAATATATTTCATTATATCATTTTGTTCTTTTTATATTCAAACTAAAATATCCCAGCACACTCGAGAGAGAGGAACATACCATCACGAAACAAACTAAAAACAAGATACCCTTGCTTTGTTTTCCGATGCATATTAGTATCTTATTTCATTTATACTATTGTTCCCATAAATTATTTTCGTCACGTCGCTTTTTTCGAAGGTATAAACGAAAATTAGAGCTTTCAACAATTGGTCTTTCCTGCCTATCGAACTCAAAATACAAATGCCGGACATGATTTTGAATGAAATTTGAACAGGTTTTTAGGCAATTCTTCTTGGGTTAGCTTTATGTACATATTTTTTAAGAAAGTTCTTAATTTATATGCTCCTCACTTTTAATATTTCATTTTAGGATTTTTAATGTTATTTTTAATAAAGGATTCTCTTGAAAACTATTCCTAGTGATACGGAGGCCTCCTCTTAAAAATGTACTTTGTAATTATTATCAATTATTATTATTATTATTATCATAGTTATCATTATTACAAAAGGGCAATGAATCGGTTATAAATCCGCTGTCTTAAAAAATGTAGTTCGTGAAACGGCTGTTTAGTTACGAAGAAATCAAGACTTGTTCAGTATCTACCGACGAAGTGTTACACCAACTGCAACTGCGTAATTATTCAAATGCACGTCCCAGACGTTCACACACGATAACGAGACTACTCGAAAACAACACATATTGTTACAACGACACAATCAATTATGACAGTTTCAATGCTTTTTTCTTTGAAGGGGTGGGAGGGGGGCTTTTATATTTATCCTTATCTACAATCGCTTTCAGGCTAGAAAAGCACTTTGAAAAATTTAGTTCTCTTCGCTTTCGCCCTACCCCTCCCTTAACAATGTTTTTTTTGCCATGTCAAAAGGTTATGTGTGGAGTGGGGCTTTTCATGGAATTATGACGAGTTTTGGAATCTTCTACAAAAACCTTAAATTGGTTCCTTTCGCCCCCCTTATAGTTTCCAAGTTGACTTGTAAGTCGAGGATTGTGCCAGAAATCAATAGTTGTAATTTAAACCCCTCTATTGAATTTTCTGCAGTCGACGTGAAAGAAAAATCAAAGCAGCTAATGTGGGGCCACAAGCAGCTTTTGGAAGAAGAGCCGCTGCCCGGTTAGCTCAGTTGAAGGAGCGCCGTTCTGCTAAACGGGAGGCCGTGAGCTCAGACTTTAGCCGGACCACATCAGGGGCTTTAAAAAGTGGTGAGATCATGCGAACTGTGATGAAAACTGATGTGAAGTAGTTTGGTTTGATGAAAACTGTTTCTTAGTTCAAGTGATCGCGTCATTTGTTGGTGGTGACCTTGAGCCGTTGGCCTTGTCACCTTCATTCTTGCACATCAGTCTGCCTCGTACCCTGGCGCATTCTAGTGGATTCCTCATCCAGAGAGGACGGAGCTACTTTAGTTCATGGCAAAGGATCATGGGACTCGTCTACCCTTCCCAGCGTTCTTTGCGGCAACGCTTAAGGTCCATTGCGCGATACTCCTTGATCCCTTACAGTCGCGTGTTGCGTAATGTATGATAATGTCAAAACAAAGAAAAATACACTTTAAACCAAGGATAAAATTGAACCACAACACACAGTCTGTTTGCTTGTGTTTTGTTGTGAAAGTTGTATGAGGTTCTATATCCGCATAAGTGGACCGCTTTTCTTTTGTAACCAAATCTAACTTCGATCGTAGACCGTAGTTGAAGTCCATTTGTAGATGTTCAGGTTGGCCAGACAGAACCAGGTAAAAACTTAGGTGGCTGGAGAGACGAACAACGCTCAAAATAGCACGGTGCCAGAATTTCCAGCCATTTGATTTTCCCGCCGATTTAGGCGGAATGACGCCATTCGGACGAGACCAAAATGCGCTCAGAATACAGTGAATAAGTGAAACCCGCCACTAAGAACCTGTTAGACTTAAATTTGTTAGTTAGGCCCCCTCTTTACAAAAACCTGTTTAGCCTCAAATTTGAAACCGGTTTTATACGTCTTCCTTGCGAAATTAGCGAGACTCATAATCTGCAAGCCCTTTTTCTTCGTTTTCAGGACACAAAAAGGGAGTCATGGTCCCCGGCGTTCCTAGTGGAGGCCGTGGAAACTGGGAATAAGAATCGTTGGGTGACCGCAGCCACGCATGTTTTGCGAAGAAAGCTTAGGGAAGATTAAATTTCGAGTTTTTCCAGAACGGGTCGGTACATGAATTTTATCGCTTGAAAGCGTTGATTACTTTGGAACAAATGAACACTCAAGTGTTCGAAAAAAGAGAATCTTAGCTTAATTAGCAAAACTGCGATGGTCGGGTCTTGAAAACTTTCATTGTATGTAAATAGCTCTTGTGATAAGCATGCGGTTTATTTTCGGCGATGATTGAACTGACGTGCCAGGTAAATCACTGACTTTTTTTTTCTCTTGCAATGATGTAATTTCTCTGGAATCGAGGCCCTTGAATTTTCGTGTACAGTCGACTTTCTCTTAACGGACACCTTTATAAGACGGACACCTCTGTAAAAAGGACACTTAGAGTTGGTCCCTGCCTTTCTTTACTCCCTTTATTTGACTCTCTATAAGGCGGACACCTCTCTAAGACGGACACTCATTACGCGTCCCAAAGGTGTCCGTGTCAGAGAGAGTTGACTGTATTTATACACGCGTATAGTCTGCGACCGAAAACGTATTTCCGGTCGTTGCTATCAAGCGTAAATTCAGACTAACAAATAAAAAGTAAATACTGTATCCTAAAGAATACTCAACCGTCGATAAAGTAGGAAGTGAAAAACCTTTATCGGGTAAATATTGTTTTGTGTAGAATTAATCGCCTCTTCATTTCTCGATTCAATCTCCAGTGAGACTTACCGCTGCTGTAAGAGTGTTCTTGTTTTACTTTTTCGCTCGCCGCGCGTGGCTCTGAGGAAAAAAGGACGACCGCTCGCGGTCTCATGGCCTGCGAACCGCAGACGCATTTCCGGTCGTCGCTTCTCTCCCTCCGAAAAATAGCGTCTGCGAACCCGAGCGACAAAACGATTTCCGTGACGTAAAACCTTTTTAGCCAATCACGGTTTAGCTCTTAAAATCAAGGAACTAACTCGCGAGACTTCTCGCAGGATCGTGCGCGATGGATATGTTTTCAACTCGAAATTGAAAGGACGACGTGGCTTGTGTATAGCCGTCCTTTTTTCTCAGAACGACGTGTTTACGAAAGTTAATTTGCCAGGATTGTGGGACTTATTGACGAAATAAGTATCAAGAGGATTCATATCGAAGAAAAGATTAGAGGACATTTTTCATCTATTTGCCTACGGAGTCAATGATTTATCAGACGTAGTTGTTTTGATCATATTCGAAACGATAACTGTCCTAATGACAGTAGACGCATCATGCCGTTTGTTGCTTCTGTTCCTTTCTGGTTCCTGGCAGGAAAGTATGCCTTGGAGAACTCTTCGATAGTTTGTCGTGTGCCGTTTTAGATATTTTTTAGTAGATATCCTTTATCTTTGAAAGGTAGGACATGTGGTAATTGATTTCCCATGCGTGGTTGCTTCTTGGTTCAGATAGAACTTTGATCAGATCGAAAGCATTTTATATTTGTTCCGGTATATTTCTTTAAATACATGTTCTTTTCAAGGTTCTCATTTCCATAGTTTTTTGTGAGATGAGTAGAAGCGTCGTAGCTGAAATGTCATTTTGACTATGATCTATTTACTGCTGTAACTATTTATTTCACGCTGGGTCTGGCCCAGGTTTATAATATTTCAGATCATTGTGTTGTGGCGATACTAGAATTATTAACGAGCGATTGTTAGAGATTTCTGAATCAGTCAAGGATGTGCCTGTATAATTGATTCACCACCTTTTGTCAGCGCTGGTTAAATTGAAAAAAATAAGTCTGAGCGCGATGTCATTAAGCTATGTTACTTTCCTTTCGCTGTAGCGATTATTTTGTCCAGGTTTTGTTTATGTCACGTACTACCGTATTTTACAAAGCGAAAGCAAAGGGCCACATCACATACATAGCTTAAGAAGCAGTTGCTTCATAAAGAAGTCAGCATTCAACGTCGCAGGAAACCTTGTTATGGTCGTGAAATTCACGTTCCAAAGCGTATTTGGTAATTCTCTCCAAAATCCAAGACACTTCAGCGCGCGAGGTCGCGAGGTCGAGCTGTATTCTATCCTTTGATCTGATTGGCCTACATCAAAACAAGAGGTTTTACGTCACGGAAATCGTTTTGCCGCTCGGGTTCGCAGACGCTATTTTTCGGAGGGAGAGAAGCGACGACCGGAAATGCGTCTGCGGTTCGCAGGCTAGGGGTCTCATCGCCTCCTCATTTCTTGTCTTATGTCCAAGCAAGCGAGACTCAACGCTAATAAGAGCGTTGTTGTTTTATAAAATCTATATATAAAAGTCTCTACACAATGATGACTTGGGCAAATAGGATAAGTCGACCTTCAGGATCGTTTTTGGAGACATGGGTGCCTTATCACTCCATCTGCAATACTACCTTAGCATGCAAATTTATAAAAAGTATTAAGCTGAATACCAGTAAATACTCTTAGGTACATTACAGAATATAAGAACCTTTTTAAGAACCTAAATAGCTAAAGTTTTGCTAATTACCATTTACGTAAGAACCTGTTTACGCTAACTTGGGAAAATGTAGGTTTTTAGTTGCGGGTTTTTACTGTACTGACAGTAACTAAAGACACTGGCATCTTTTTATTTGTGCTAAGAAAAATAGTGACACTCCAGGGTAGTCTTGGCGTTCTTCTCCGACCAACCAGACCCAAATAAGGCGATGAGACAGAAGAGAACAGTTGTTTATACAAACGTCTTTATTTAAAAATATATTAATCTAAGAAAATTTAAAAGTCATCAGCAAAACTGCTTGACAATAGATACTCTTGGGTTAAATATAAAGCAAATTTACAAATTATGTACAATATTTACAATAAATAACTTTGAAAGAGTTTAAAGCCATGTAAATGTTGCTATTTGACTTAAGCAAAAATGATGCAACTTAAGTCTGTTATGAGGAACCGATTATCACTAATAAGCCATTAACGATCACTGTTCTTCATTAACCATTGCAAATGATTCTGAGATGGACAGAAATTCAACTACAATGACTAAATCATTAATAGTCGCCAACGCTTCGCTAACCAATCACCGACCCATTAGTGACGAACAGTAGCAAGAGAATGACTGTCGAAGATTCGTCTGTGAATTACCAATCAAAAAAGCGAGACGACCAAACATCACAAGACGAGGATAACAGCATTATACCTTGCAACTAAGAGGCTATCATATCTAACTTTCCTTTATTCTTCATGTCTAAGAACGAGACACGTATAGGATAGGATAGGATAGGATAAGTGCTTTATTATCAACAGAGTGCCTACAGACACATGTGTTTACAACGATAACAAAGATTTTCGTGCAATAATTACAGAGGGGTACATTTGTAAAATTTCTACAACTGTTAAACAAGGTTATATTTAACGGGTCTATCTCTTTCACGGAAGCGATCATATACGTATTTAGCCACAATTTTTTGCGTTTTCTCTCCTTGCTTCATACTTATCAATGTTGCAAAGGCAGAGCTTGGAGTCATAGAGTCAAGAATAAGATTAGTTTCCTTTTTTAGCGTATTGAACAGCTCTCTCCTAGGATCTCTATGGGCTATGCAATTCATCAAAAAATGCTCCTCGTCTTCTATTCCAGTTTTACATAATGGACAGATTCTTTGGTCTGGTGGTTGATAGGCTTTAACGGAGCTACTACATGATTCATACAGGGTTCGTACAGACATTTGGATCCACAATTACTATTTTTTTTCCAGACTTTTTTTAAAACAAAAATTTCTTTTCCAGAATCAAAGTGATCAACTTTGAAAACCGCAGGATCCAAGCACTTCTCATTATTCACTGAAAACGTCAGTAACCAGGGTGCAACGCGAACATTGGAAAGTTCTGTAAAATCTCATTCACTTACTCCGCACTACCATTTTTCCAGTTCCATTCACTTGTCCTCTACCATTCTCTATTTTTCAGTTTTTCCAGGTCTGACAAATTGCTTTGCAAATTTCAAGACTTTTTCTAGAATTCAAGACTCTCTACGAACCCTTTCCTTAGATGAGGTATAATGAATGGGAAGTACGAAATATTACACTTCTCCACTGACGAATACCGAAGTGAAAAGTAAAGGCTCACGGAAAAACAGTGACTCTAGTTTAGAGTGCATACAGACATACCGACATAAAGACCATTTATACGAGGAAAAATAAGAAGCGTCTTACATAGGAAGCGTCTTAAATAAGACGCAAACTTTCCGTATAAACGGCACATATCATCTAAAATAAGACGCGGCTTAGTCAAGACGCGTCTTATTTTAGAACAGCCCTTAACACCTGTTCTTAGATAAGACGCGTCTTAGCTAAGACGAGAAAAACGTCGTATAAATGACCTTCGCGTCTTAAATAAGACGAGAACGCATAGTACGCATGCGTTAATTTTTGGCGCGCCACGTTGGATTGCCAATGGAGGTCGACCCAAGAGAAACTGAGGACCATCCTTATGCAAAATTTTGAGGGACAAACAAGGTGCAATTTCGGAGATTTGAGAGAGGCGAATACAAAATTTTGTGACGCAGAAGAACTGTATCATGGGCGATTCGAAATTGGTAAATACTCTTATCCATGAACTTGCAGCGTTGGTGTTTCAATTGTATTTCAGGGAAAAATGCAGATTAATTAGGGGATGAACGTATAACCAGTGAGGGTCCAGTGAGTAAGAGGCAAGAAACTTTTATTTCATATATTTGTACAAGAGCCTTGCCGGCAGTGAAAACACTTTAAACTTAATACACAAAGCTTTCGATACTTACTTCCTCGCTAGCTTAATAGACGTAACGTGTTGTAAATAAAGATAAACATATTACGGGCAGCTGATTTCATGTTCAGGGTAGATAATTAACTCTCAAGGCAATATGCACAGTGACATCATTTTCCTTTAACTACTACAGTACCTAGTGCTACCAAAGTCTTGATCAGGGTTTTACTTCCTTGTGATTTCTTTCTTCTTTCACTTTAGCCTTTTGTTATTAAAAGAAACATTTTTTTGCGGGGAGGGGGGGAGGGGCTATCAAATTCTGAAAAACGAAATTGAGTTTATTAGTTCCTGTTGTGACGCAATAAGGCAAATGGCTTACCAACTGATTCGAGAACTCTTTACAAACTTGTAAATCATATCGTAGCATTGTGGGGGTCGGGGAAGGGCTTGCATGCATAAGTAAACCTTTTCGCTTGCATTTGTTTGTTAAGCGAATATTAGTCGAGGGGCAGGGACATGTGCAAATTTGTTCAAAGACTCTTGACCATTATTGTAGCTTTGGTTGGCAGTGATCAATTTTTGCGTCACTTTTTTTTTAGTTCCAAAATTGGTGGTACAACTTCCAGCGTAACTAGTATAGCGATTGAACTACCAGTTTTTATGCATTTGATAACTTTCAATAAAAATCTGATACGAATGGACGAATGCAAGAAACGTGTTTAGTTTGGTACTGTTATGCTCTCCTATGAAAAATCTTAGAAATCTTACGATACCAAGGGTGTCTGTGAGTCGTTGCTAGTCGTACTGTCAAGCCTCGAAAATCTAGTCCTGGTAACACCATTGTTTATATTAACTTGATTGTCATCACTATTGTTGTTATCATCATTGTGGGCATCAGAATCATGAAATGACAAATCGAGAAACTCGAGCAGCTTTCTTTTCCAAATTGGCCTTTGTGAGGGGTCTTCGTAGTCTATTAAAGTTTTGTTCCTAAGTTTTGATGGCAGTTCTTCAAAGTTGACTCCATCTATTCTGATCAATGCCAAACTATGATCTCCGCTTTTCTCTTCTCGGTCTATCGCAAGACCTAATTCATAACTGACGTTGTTGCTTTTTATAGAATTGCTTGAAAACAGAGCTATTACTTTGTAACTATTATTGACACTTTCTACCATGTTGTCTCGGAAAGGTCTCCCGATGATCCAGTTTCTGTAGTGTACGCAGCACTTTAAATTATGCTTTTCTTCTAAGAATGTTAGGAGTTTTTTCATCCATAATTTATCTTCATTGTTGTATATTATAAACACGTGGTATTTGTAATCTGTTGAAAGGAAAGCAGAAACATGTCAAGTATTAAAAAAGATTCTTTCAGTTTCTGTTAAAATTGTGGGAACACGAATTGATATAAGCAAAACATACCTGAGGGTACAGGAGCCTTCTTGCGCCTTTTGCTACGTAAGATATACGCCAGCAAACCGACAACCAGAACAAGGCCAGTTAAAATGCCAATCAATATGGTTACTGTATGGGCCACTGTTTTACTGGAACCTGGTAAAACATTGAAACCGGTTGATTATGTTATATAACAGATTTGATTTTGCCCTGTGTATTCGCCTGTTAATACTAAAGAGATATCACGGACGGGCGTCAACATTGACACTCACAAAAAGAGCGAAGAGCAGAGCACAAGGTTGCCACCTGCAAAATGAGATTTTGCCGGTAGGGCCGCCAAAATGCAAGAACCGGCGGGACGATCATAGAGATCACAGGATCAGCACCGGTACAACTGAACATATACAAACAGACAATTAGACTACGAGTAGTCCCCATTTTTCCTTAGGGATATTACAGCGAGCGAAACCCCAGGCGAGAAAGGCGAGACGCGTCGGCCCCTTTCTCACGTGGGTCTATGAATGGGACAGCTCTGACGAGAATGGACACCAACCAGATGGCACATCAGCAAACAACACTAGAGTGTCAAGTTATAAAGCAAGAAGACTGAACTTGTGTCACAGCCGTTGTAGAGAGCTTAGACTGAAAAACAGCCGGTATTTTTGCCTAGGTTAAGAACGCGCGAAGAGTAAAACTGGATACGCTGTTTCGCGCGAAATACCAGATTAATAACATTTATGACTCATGAACTGAGTATAAAGTTGTTAGACCAGTTCAGACGACGGTGTTATTCAAATTTTGCTTTTAAAGTGTGGATTTATCTGTATTAGTTATTACTATAGTACGGACCTCTATTTACCAGTATTTTTAGCAGAATGTACAAATTATTAAAGAATCCACGATTACTTTTTAATGCCGATTTTTCAAATAACTTTGGTTCCATTTACAAGTCAGTGTGTTTTGGCTTCTTTAAAACATAACAGGCAGATAATAAAAGGATGAAATGAAAATATGTTTGGTTGTAAGGTTTTTGGCACAAAATAGAAGAGAAGAATTATTTCGAGCTTACCTGTTGTTGGAAATGCTGTTGACGGTTCACTATAAGAAGTGACTATGAAATAAACAATTAAAAATAAGTGACATCACTGTCAAGTCTGTTAAGTGGTGACCTGATTATAGGTCATTCCCCACCCCTTGGTCTCCGAGGACTGATGTATTTTAACATGACACAGACTTGAAGAGAGCTTACTATTGAGCTTACCTGTTATCGTTGAAAAGGTTGACGATGGTACAGTAGTAACTATATAGTATATAATGACAAAACAATGACGTTAGCCGTTGTGGGAAGAGCATAGTGGACACACTGTTGATACGACAAATAAAGAACAGGGATTTTACGATGTCACATAAGTTCACTCCTGGGGGCGTATTCCAGGAAGGGGGAAGATGCGCGGCATGCATTAAAAAAAAAAAAAAAAACAGCTTAACATATTCCATATCAAAAAAACTGAGTCACACTAAAATATTTGATGTCCTCTGGCATATTAGCAAACGCAGTATTTATAACATATCTTGGAAACGAAAATGGATGTAATGTAAAATTTAACCTAAAACTTGTTTACTGAGTTATAATTCAATACCCTCAAAGGATCTAAGACGTGACATCCACGTTTTGGTGACTTATCAGTTCATCTTATCAAATGATAAATATATCTTTTTTGCGAACAAGTGGGTAAGAGCGAGAGATGAGAGGAACAATTAAACTAGACGGCGTAAAACCAATTGTAGTTGTCGTTGCGAACAGTTACTGTCTTGTTAGATAATAACAGCTACATTCAAAGCAATGAACGCAGGCCCTTTTTTTCCGAAAAGCGGCTGCATGATAATCGAGCCTATTAACTTGATAATGAACCTGCTAAAGATTCAAGTTGATTAATACCAAAGCGCAAGTTGTGAGTCTGTGCTAAACCTACCTAAGAGAGGCAAATAAGGTGTCATAAAATACCAGGTTTTGAAGAATGGAAGACCAATGACCTACAAAATAAAAATTAAAAAAAATGATTGACATAGAGATTGGAGAATATTTTAAAAAATCGTAACGTTGAAAGGCAAAACTAAAAACTTTAACTTCAGTCACACCCGTCATTTTCGGAACTTGTCGCCGAGGAACGTCAGTGAAAAAACAACAACTTTTGTTCTTCAGTTGCCCAGTTAACGTACATGTCCATTTAGTTGATCCTTTTAACATTCCTTTTCTTTCTTTAAGAAAGAAGTGATTATAAGAACAGCTCATATACGTTCACGGCTTTCCCTAGATCTTCTCACCTTTAGACCAATAGGGTCTGGATAATGATAGTGATATGAAGAGATGTTAACTTTAAAGAACGTTTGGTTCTGAAACAAGAAGAAGATTGGAGTTTGAGACTTTACAATCTGATATTATCAAATGTATGAACCAGGTTGTGAGTTAACAGTTGCATTTTAGGAGTTTCGAGTCTCTTTTGTATTTGTTTTGTAGATCTTTAGTCTCAGTTGCAGTTCAGGTTCGTTTTTGTTGTTTTTGTTGCCTTTTTTTTTTAATTTTTTCATAGAAAACGAAAGTTACACGGTTAATAGATTAGTATCGCACGTGACTATTAATAAAAAGTTTATATTTTATTGCAGCTGTTTTGCTTGTTGGTCTGACAGAAAGATGAAAGGCTTTATAGCAGGAGATAAGTTCTAGAAATTATTAGAAACCACTAATGCTCTCCTTACTTTGGGCAGTACGAAGCATGTAAAGTTATTTCGCTGTGGAAGACGTCCATCGGGTCCTTCTGAGAAAGTCGCAATCCCGAGACGAATCAAAATACTGTTCCATTTTCCATCAAAGTCTGCAAGATGTAATTGATGTATGGCTTCTATTTACACTTGAAAGTGTTTTAAAATTCTGAGAAACACTTGCAAATCAGGCGCCGGATCCAGACAGGTTTCCACCGTTTTACGAAAATCCGTCAGATTTTTCATAAATACTGCATGAATATACATTTTTCATGAAAAAAAAAAGTACTTTCGAAGTTAAAATCTGGCAAATATCGTGTCTGAATTTCTCAGAAACCCAGGAAACGTGACTTTTGGTAGCTAAAATCCTAAAATTTTCACGGGGCTGCATGCCCCCGGATCCATAGAAGCTTGCACCTTCGGCATTCGTTTTAGTGTTTATCCTAGATCCTCACCAGCAAATCACTGAATTCAAGAGACCCCACCTAACACTTTCTATTTACCGAAAGGCTTTGTCGTGTCGAATTTTCTCTTGAGAACTTACCATTCATAGGAGACCATGAGCAGTTTATGTACCAATGGTCGGTGTTTCCGTAGTTTCCAAAGCTTACATTCACTTCTGATGGCGTCCACTCCACAAACTGTGGTGCTTCTGACGGCAATGGGCAAACTGAAATATTTTGTATGAAAGCTTGTATTTATAAAAAGATCATACAAAGATGAACAAATTAAATGAATGTACGGCATGTTTCAATAATCGTTGCTGCTTTTTGGCCCTCCTTTGTTATTCAATACAACCAAGAGGACACCTGGGCAGATGCAAGATGCGCATTTTCAACAAAATTTACTTGTAACTTCATTTCAAATTATTGTACTTTTATCATACAATTTCAGGATGTGTGAGACTGCCATTCACCTTAAGTTTCAGTGTGCAGTAAAATGTAAAGTCGAGCGACTTGCATTTCCCGTAGTAGTAAGATCTGGAGTTGGAGCTTACCCTGAGCAGGCTGTGGATCGGAAAGCGATTTACGCTTTCGATGTTTGCTTGTGCCTGGCACATCCAAACCATCTTTCTCTGTTTAAAAAAGCATTGAAATGTCCTCTCATATTATTCAAAATTATTATATAAATAATAATATATATTGTATATAACCGATGTCCGTATCATTTGGAAACTGAGTGACGAGGAATTTACTTCTAATCAGTGCTTACGGCTATACTGAGCTTTCCCAGAGCGCGCGAAGTCGTTCGCCGATTAATGCGAGTGAGAGGCTAGGCGCTTTTGACTAGGCTTTTGACTTTTGACTCGGGATCTCTGCTCCTAGCTTCAATCAACCCCCTCCCCCACGCCGCCTCCTTGATTTATCCCGTTTTTCCTCTCTCTGAGAGGCCAGCAGTTTAAGATTTTAACGCCATCAACTAAAGGTGGTACTGCACGAGACGTCTTTTTTGAAGAAAAAAAAAGTCATCTATAGAACAGGCATACTTTAAACTCAGCAAGTGGGGTTGAATTGATGATTTATTCCGTATGAAGATTTCTACTTACCTTTGTTTCTATCAAGACACTCGGGGCAAGAGAGAAATCCACTAGATACCTGAGAGAGAGAAGAAGAGAAACCTTTGGTGAAGCGGTTACTGTAGTTATCAGTATTATCATTTACAGGGTACCGGACTAGTCATTCAAACATCAAACAAATCGATCTGCGGGTTTCAAATTCGCTTACACAAGTATGGTGGCCGATAACTGCCATTCGTCAAAAGCACATAAATTTGTTAATTTTAGATCGAACTTTAATTATTTTGTATTGGAAATAAAGTGAAAGTACAATGTAAAAACATTTTGTTTTTTATTGAACTGGAAATAGATTCTTCTTTATTACTATTTTCAAAACAAAACAAAATATTTTTACTATGAAATGAAAATAAAAATAAAAGTGAATAAAAGCAAAAGTAAAAATAATATGTTCACGGCCTGGAACTGCCATTCAAAACAAAAAAAAGCAAAATTAATTTGTTCACGGCCGGGAACTGCCATTCAAATAAAAAAAAACTAAAATAAATATGTCCATGGCCGGGAACTGCCATTCAAAAAGAAAGAAATGAGACTTTTGGCGGGAGTGCGTCGCTCGCGTTTGTTTACAATCTCGTACCCAGACTCCCCGGATTCTTTGATAATTTGGCGCCTTTTCGCAAAAATCATTAGACTCAATATGGGGGACACATTTTTGTCATTGTACTGTATGTCAAAGTGACGAAGGCGTCTGTCGACAGTGCGAAGGCTCCATGCATATTGGGCAAAATCCCTTTTCAAAAAATCTAACATTTCTCTCCGTTGAAAACCCTTTTTTACATATTTAGCCATTTCTTCTTTGAGAACGATGTCTTCTTTCCAACCATCATTTCGAAAATATGCCGCCATAATGCCCGTCACTGCGTTCCAGTCCCTCCCCAAATTTGAATGGCAGTTCCCGGCCGTGAACAAACTAATTTTACTTTTTCTGTTTTGAATGGCAGTTCCCGGCCGTGAACAAATTAATTTTGCTTTTTTATGTTTTGAATGGCAGTTCCAGGCCGTGAACAAATTATTTTTATACTTTTGCGTTTATTCACTTTTATTTTTATTTTCATTTCATAGTAAAAATATTTTGTTTTGTTTTGAAAATAATAATAAAGAAGAATCTATTTCCAGTTCAATGAAAAACAAAATGTTTTTACATTGTACTTTCACTTTATTTCCAATACAAAATAATTAAAGTTCGATCTAAAATTAACAAATTTATGTGCTTTTGACGAATGGCAGTTATCGGCCACCATACACAAGCTTGGGTGAAAGTTTTAAAAAATGCAAGACTAAACTTATTAATACTTATTAAGATATGGGATATGTGATTCAGCATGCAAGAGAAATGTGTTTTGCAGCAATGGAAATTTCTTTTCAACATTTATAAAACCAGGCTATAAAACTGTCTCCCTTGCGTTTTTTTTTTTTAGTCCCTGGTATTAGTAACAGGGAAATAACCGATAGCCGTAGAAGAGCCAAAATATTGAGCGCTCAAACGCAAATGCCACTACGGCAACTGAAACCTTAATGTAATGAAGGACCAGTAGCCAGTCTCTCACCCCTCGCGTGTCTCCCTCTCGCGCGCCCGTTCTTTCTTGCGCCCACTACTACCAAGCGCCTGCTACGCTGGGTTAACTGCTACGCAGGCTAAACGACCAGAGCCGATTTTCACTTCTTCAGTAAACTCAGAAATGCATGATATTGCTTCGCCGTTCATAAAATCGAGTTATAGAAAGAGGTTCTCGATCTATATTATTAGACTAATGTGGGGTTCGTTTAATTTGCGAAACCTCTACGACTTACAGCTATTAGCTAAAGAAATCTTTCAGTTTAAGATAGGTTTTGAAAAGGAGATTTGAGCCTTCCTTTGAACAGTGTCACTTTATGATGAAATGAAATACCCTTAAGACTCTCTAAAAAAGTATTACTTTGTGTGTGGTTAGATGCCGCAAGCTGTTTGTTTAGTGCCTTTCTTTAGTTTCGAATTGTGTTTTCGCGGCTTTTTTTAAGGTTTCATCTGGCTAACATTTTTGGTTGTCTTTCACGTAGACATTTCTTATTGTAAAAAAAAGCTCAAAAAAATCGCCGGTGCAGAATTGAGGTGAAGAGTGAAAATTGCTGCTCAAGATTAACAATATCTGTAGCGTCGTTACGAAATCGCTAGATTCAAAAACCTGTTTGACCCTCTGACTGAAGTCTCCCCCGTTAAAATTACTGCCTTTGGTACTTAAAAAAATTGATCGAACCAAATAAGATGGCCACGATTTTATAGAAAACTAAGCAATGCTTTTACGAAAACTTAATAACAGTTTTTTAAAACTCCCATTTTAAACTCAGTGAGTGTCAGAGGACACATTTAATGCTTCCCTTGAAGACGCCCAACCATTTTTCTTTTTTGTGGTTTATTTCTAAAAAAAAGGCTTCTATAGTTCGAGCATAACAAGGTCAAAAAATAATTATTACTCAGTTTTTAATCTAAAACACAGATAGCAGTACGGATTAACAGGTGTTTTGTTTCAGAGTGGCTTGTTTTGTTAGCTCAATAACACATTTGAGGAAGAAAAGGAAAACCCACGACAGCTTTTAAATTTTACATCGATTTTTTAAGGTGCCTTATGATTGAATACAAGTAGTCACAATGTGTCATATTTACAAAAGCGAGTCATTCACGCGATAAGAGAAAAGAGCGGCTCAGCGGTAGACCGCAAACATGAAGGGACGCGAAATTCAAATTCCTTTATACCTGCTTTTCGCCTTAGGGCAACAGAAAGGAGAGTGAGTTTAACTTTTCTATTTTCTTCTTTTATGTTTTAGTGGTAGGGAAACTAAATAACTTTTAGTAAATTAAAATTAATTACTTGAGGACTTTACGTGAAATTTCCCCTACAAAAAAAATAGTTTGCTGATCCATAGCGGCAAATGAACGTGCAACTATGCCTTGCTACTTATCACGTCGGTTTACAGGGTCAACAGATACCCGCGCCAATATATTTAAGCGCATTTGTAACATTGTCGCTCTGTTTCTTTCATTTCCATCTTGATATGAATAAAAGGAACTTGATATGAATAAAAGAAACTTGCGATTTTCACTTTTTTCGTATCAGTTTTTTTGCAGACTTTAAGACCAAAATACAGGATGTTACCTGTAGATTCTTTTTGCTCGACATACTTAACTTAAAATTGTAAATAATAGTTTCTTTTCTTTTCTTGTATGTGCTTATTATTATCATTATTATTACTTATAATGCATTTAATGTATACATATATTTCTATATTATTTTCATGTAGTGTCAGCTCGAAGATATCAGCTTGCTAGCTACTCTATAAAATTCGAGTATAAATCAAGTTTATGTTATAATGTTATGTATAATTTCCATATTAAGTGTTGAGGCATGCCCTCACAAATCATGTCGTATTTTTCGAACTGATTCTTTGTTCTTATTAACCTTTGCGTTTGATATTGCTTATTGATTTCTCATATTTCGTTCGCCACGTTATCGTTTAAAACAAGAAAGTGTCATAAATAAAACAACGTGTTCATAAACAATCGCACCGGAAGACTGACATTAAAGCTAGACCGAAGTGGATGGACTAAATCTCGAGCACTGAAATGGCAATACACGACATACATAACGCCTCTTGATTTTAATCTACTGACAAATCTCATTTTCTTAAACTTTGCTGGGATGTAGTGTTTGTAGCTTCGCTGTTATTGTTTTATTCGTTTACATCGTTATCGAGCGTTGTGCAAGACTGGTCATTAAGCAAACTAATTGCGATTATACTGATCGATTTTTTATACTACGTGTTTACCCTTTGAACAGATCAGAGATACACGTCAACACAAAGCCACTGACTTACCTGCATATCTGCTGTTTCTGCTTTGGAGCCATTCTCTTGGCCATGGGCGAGGCGACATAATTGAAGACATCGCTCTCTTTCTCCTAGCAGAGGCTGGCTCGAAACTGCAAATGAACAGACTACCAGTACTAGAATAATCTTACGTTTTGTAATCATTGGCCACTCATATACAGTCAGTATCGCAGGCTGATTGACAAAGCCAAGTGTATCAGTTCTGCTTATTCAGCATTATACAAGACCCATTGACAGACGAACCCGATCGAAGTAGGTCATTTTGCAAAGATGCGCAAATATGACTGTTTTCGATTCAATGATGCGGATTATCTGTTAGTCATGATTTATATTTGTCTCTTGGCAGTTAGCGCCCAACTGTGAACTACTTCAGGCATGCATCTTGTTTCACGCTTCGAAGGTCATTCTGGATCTACTTTTGGGATAGCCTTTTCTAAGTATTTGGCTCAATATTTCAGTATTGTATTTATATTTAAATTACAAGCCCTTTTAATAGTTCTCAGGACTTTGATGGTGATGTCAAGATTACATTGTTCGTAGTCTTATTTAAATTTTGATAGAAGGGTCTTGTTAAACAAAGGAACAAATCTTTCGATGGAGTTTAACTCGGCATGACAGGAAGTCGTGAATCCCTGGGTTACCTGCTTTTTGATTAGAATTTAACTTACAGTTGACGCCATACCTGATCGAGCTGCGAATAAAACCAGAAAGCTGTGCTTTCAAACGATTTTGTAATACTGTCTACACAAACAAAACGAAAAGTCGCGCAGATAAACAAAAAAAAACACAATTTCTCTGCAAACTGCAGGCTAAAGAAACTTTCTTTTGTTCTGCTCTTTTACGTCTCTGAATTACTGCAAATATACTTTATTATATCGTTTTGTTCTATTTATATTCAAACTAAAATTTGTATCCCAGCACACTCGAGAAAGAGGAACATACCATCACGAAACAAGATACCCTTGCTTTGTTTTCCGATGCATATTAGTATCTTATTTAATTTATACTATTGTTCCCATAAATTATTCTCCTCACGTCGGTTTTCGAAGGTATAAACGAAAATTAGAGCTTTCAACAATTGGTCTTTCCTGCCTATCGAACTCAAAATACAAATGCCGGACATGATTTTTGAATGAAATTTGAACAGGTTTTTAGGAAATTCTTCTTGGGTTAGCTTTATAGCTTTATGTACATATTTTTAAAGAAAGTTCTTAATTTATATGCTCCTCACTTTTAATGTTTCATTTCAGGATTTTTAATGTTATTTTTAATAGAGGATTCTCCTGAAAACTACTCTTACTGTACCCTGGTCCCAGAGGTTTTTCTTGATTTTTCTTCGCGAAAGAGATCAACAGCAAGCCGCGAAGCGGCGACAACGAGTCGCGAAAGCGACGTTGAGAGAGAGAAAAACCTCTGGTTACCTTGGCCTCGAATCTCACTTTCATGCAGACGACAGCTGTCAAACGCGTCAAATTGCTAATAAAAGGAGTGACCAATGGCAACTTAGCAAACACGTGCTTTTCAGTCGCTATTTTTTTAAGTGGGGGTAGACCTGGGGAAATTATGTTATGAACAAACCATCTCCACTTGGGTGGTAAAGCTAAAGCATGGGTTAACGATGGGCGACAAGAGTCCAGGAATAAGAAGACCACTTTATAAAGAAACCGACATTGTTCCAAACGACTGCTGCAGGATTTGCAGAAGTTCTGTAAAAGTAAGTGGCCGATCTAAAATCAATTTTTTTGGGTATAATAACAAGGATTTTTCACAAACATTGTCATCTGTTCTGTCGGCAGTGTGCCAGCGGGAAGTTGTAAAGTTTGCAAGAGTCTATCAATCGCGCTTCTTGCGTTATGTATCGGTCAAATCGAAGCTTCAACATGCCCCCCGGGCAACCCCCCGGGAATTTGACTTTTTTGAAAATTTTTGTTCAAATTCCCCCCTACCCGGGCCAAAATGCCGTTCAAATGCCCCACACTAGGGTCCATTCAGGTGATCAATTACCCCCACCCCGGGGACATTTCACAGGCACAAAAATGACAGAAGGATGGCGGAAACGCCTTCAGTTGTCGAAAAAAATCTTTATAAATATAACAAAACTTGAGAAAAACTATTAGCGTATTTACTACGAACAAAAGTCTCGAGCAAAGCGGCGGAAATCGTTACTACAAGGTCACTGAATGCTCAGCTCAACAAAGCGTTCTATAAAAAAAGATCCCACCTATTGAGATTACTACATCATGACCATTTCACTGACATACATCATCGCTCACCTTATTAATTAACATACTTGTAGTAGGTCAAAGTAGTTGACCTGAGCTTTTTATTTTATTTTATTTTATTTTATGTTGTTGTATTGAATCGCCGGTATAGGTATTGTATTTCATTGTAATCACAACAATAAAATACATTCATACATTCAAAGCCTGAATCCAGTATTTAAAATTTAAAATTTTAAATACTTCAAATACGGCACAAAGTTTGTTTAAGCCCTTTCCTCGTAACCAATTGGCCAGAAAGGCACAATCTTTTCCACGAAAATCCTCTAACACCGCGTCCCGCATGATAGCTCGCCACGCCAAAGATTTTACATGAAATCGAGGGTGCAGTTCAAATTCCCCACCCCTAAAGCATGGGGATCAAATTCCCCACCCCCTGGAAGACTTTGATGATCAAATTCCCTCCTTCCCGGGACGTAAAGGTGTCAAATGCCCGGGGTATGCCCGGGGGGGGGGGGGGCATGTTGAAGCTTCGATTTGACCGATACATGCCACAGCGTCGACCTGAAGTCGCGACGGTGAAAACTAGAAGTTCAGCCGCCTCGTAAAACGGTGAGTTGGTTTTCTTGTTTTCAGTGCAGAAATTGCTTTTCGTACAGGATTCTCGATCCATTTTACTTCAAGAGACACATTTAAGTGTTTTTAGTGTGGTGTTCTCTCAAGATTGACTCTTATTTTTTTTGCTATCAAGCCTTTTGGGTTCAGTGTTTTGGCGGCAACTGAGAATGAAAGCGCTGACTCTTTCGACACAAATGTAACACTATAACTGCTTGTTTTTAAGGGGACAACGTTCTCGCTTTAGGATAGTATTTGAAAAATTTAAGAGACGAGAAGTCGAATAAAAATTGTTGGAAAACAAAAATCTAGGCTTGTAATAAACTTGAACATGTCGGAGAAAATTGAGATCTTGAACAAGACGCCATGGTTCAATATTTAACTTTTATAAATTTATTTCGTTCACTTTCAGTTCAGCGATGGAGCGGTCTGAAGATCAAAATCTTGCCTTAGTACGGGAAGTTCTCATAGCAGAACCATATCGTCTAAAAGCAAGATCTAGAAAAACAGAAAGCGAAAAAGACTGGCAACAAATAGCTGATAACCTGCACTCCGATCATACCCTCAATTTTCCCTCGAAGAAATTTTTTTTTTTTTTTTTAGAGAAACTGGAGTCATAGCCGGCAAAAAACACCCGAGTTTTTCTAAAAGACGTCATGGAATTAAAACACGAAAGCATTACTTTATCCTCTCTCGTCAGGCAAGCACTCAACCCAACCCGCTCAATCTTAAGAGTGGTTGTCAGAGAAAACCGGGCAAAATGTAAAAAATGTCAACGGAAGGGGGTCAACAGAATAAGTTCATACTAACATCATAGATAGGTTAGGTGGAGTAATGGACAAATATAATAAACATAGGTTCTTCACTGCTCTTGTATTAGAGATACGAGCATCACTCTATTCGACCCCCTCGGACGCCATTTTTATAAGCAAATTTTCACCATTTTCTGAAACTCACAGAACCCTCAAAATTTAACGAGCCAAGTTTATTTTTTGTATGCGATACAACACATCATAGAACTACTTTCTAAAACCATAAGAATTGTTAAGTAACCACGGACAAGACTAAAATTTTCTGATTTCATCTGACCTAAACTCAGTGTCTGCAAACGAGCAAAAAATCGGGCATTTTTGAATTGATCTACAGCGCACAACTAAAACGACAGAACAACTCTGACAGCCAAATTGCAGTCTACTATCATCCATGTAACCAAAACACTAATAATCATTTTGGGCCATTGAAACAGGAAGAAATTAGAAAACTCACATTTGTTATAGTTTCCAAGCTTTTTCTTCAAACAGGCCGATCCCTTCGTGTTTGTTTTAAGTCCTCTTCGTGAATTTTCTTCCATATTTCGCTGTAAAGTATGTTCAGCAGCTGGAGGAAATATCAAAAAGCTCGAAATACTGCCTAGGTTACATGTTCAAAGGGCAAAAAGTACTGAACAACAGGATGAAACTAGAAAATAACAAAGCGACGCCATCTTGAAAATTCAGCACTCAGGAGGGACTGGCACTAGTAGCTGCCTTGCCCACAACGTGATGAATTACCAAATAGATAAAAAACAAAAACAAACAAATAAACTGGCTTATCAGTTACCTACTACAGTCCCATTTCTTCTTCAATCACTACTTTTAGTTAAATTTAGCTTTTTTTGTGTTGTCGGTTTTTTTTTTGGGCGGACTGATAGGGTGTGGTGAAGATGACCAATTGGCATTACTTTATTCAGTCTTCATTTACTCTTCATTTACTTCCTTTTGAGTTATCCAGTATAAGTCTTTCTTTGGAATCTTTATTGTATCATCTATTTTTGCGTCAGTCTTCAATCACCGTCCATGTCCGAAGGTCCACTCATCTCCTGTTCATGATTTCATGATGCGCTTTTCACAGTCCGGAAGGCTTCGCCCGAAGGGTAGGAAAATCACAAGTTGAAGTATGTGAAAGGAGAGGAAAATCTTTCATTAAGTATTTTAAAGGGCCTTTTATTAAATGCTTCGAAGAAACACGCCTTATGGCGATATCATTTACATGTTAATTCAGTTAAAGGTTACACGAACATGACCCGAAGACCTCCTTTCTTACCGATTTATTCTCACGAAGCATATATATGAAAAGGGCACAACTTTTCAATGGAAGATACACGAAAGGAGTACCTTTTCTCAAAAATAGTATATATAAGGGTAAGGGACTGGACCTCGGGGCGAAACCTCTCCGAACAATGCTCCCACCCCCCTCCCCTTCTCCCTAGGGCTTTCTACAAGTTGCTCGGCAACTTTTTGGCAACTTCTAGTATTTCGAGCAACCTTTTGCGTTTCAAGCAACTTTTTGCATAATTTCTGAGCAATTTCTCTTACTAGTTTTTTTTCCAATTCTGAGATATCTGAGCAGCTCTTAGTGCTTAAATTAGCCTTGCTTCCATATTGCACAGTGTTTTAGTAGACAATTTATGAATTTCCTATGAAAAAGGAGCCAGATCCTCACCTCTTGGGGGCAGATGATGGGCGCAAGATGCAGCCGGGCTGCTAGGTCAGAGGTTTTTTT